ATAAAAATCGCACATTTATTATAGATTATAGATATACAATAATTAAAATTTGATTAAATCATTGATTTACTGTATACTGAATGGGAAAATATGTAAATTTATAACATATCGTGCTCTAGAATTACATTAAAAACTTGTCAACTGATTTGTATTTTAGCGATCATTTGAGATAAAGTTTTTATAAAAGCAATAACTGATGTAAATCGATGAGCAAATATACATTTCCAATACTAATACAACTGTTATGTAATTTTTATTTATTGATTTTGAAATAACATTTTTAAAATAAAACTATCCACAATATATTCATATAATGAGGTTTTAGACTGGTTTGCATTGAATTCATAATTAAACCAAAAACGTGTGGAAATTTTAACAAACATTTCCAATGGAAAAATAAATTTGTAAATATTTGCTAAAAAACAACTTTTTAATTGATATGTAATTATATAACAAATTAGTTTTATTTGTGAAAAATAAATAATAAAATATCCTGAAAAATGTGATGTTTTTGTGCAAATGACGATAATATCATATTATTAATATGACTTAATGCCAAACACGTAATGGAAATAATAAAATCTAAATGTAGGATCAATTCATGCGAATGGCAACAAGTGGTTGACTTGTATTGATTCTCTATAAAAGTGACATTTATGAAAAGATGCCAATTTTAGCATAACTTTCTTTCACGGCTATACAAATCTCTATAAATAGTTGTAACGCTATGTTTGCTCTCTAATAGAGAGTCTCTATGTGTCAAAAAGTGGAGTAAACAGTGTATATGAAAATCAGTAGCCTTTATAAGTATTCATAAAAAGTATTCAAATTATTCTTATATTAAATTCCCAATTAATACCAGAATCGTTAGAAGAAAGCGACATCTTTTGACACTTATTATGATGGTTATAGAATTTCACTTGAATTATATTTCATTGTACCATACACCAATGTACTGTATTTTATCATGAATAATATTGAAAAAGTTAAAATAAAATTTAATCGGTTTCTGTTTCCATACGTTATTATAACATTAAAATAATTATCCATAATGAAAGTTATACAATACCTTAATGTATATAATTTTTGATGAAATAATTAGTTTTGTGCTATTTATCCGTTGCATTTTATCTGTATAAAATTATATTTTAGTCATTTGATATCATCTATAATTACCGGTGCACATTAGTAAAAGTTTATTTTACCTTAAATTATTAATTATTTTACATATACAGTATATTATTACCGTAAAAAGAAATAAAATGATTGAAATATATTTTGTCATTGTATTATTAAATAAAAGCATTTTTACACAAAAAGTGAACTGGATATTCTTATAAAATTATATATAATATTAAAAATATAAATAGAGATTCACTTTCAAAGCGCAAATGTCTGAAATAATAATTATATATTTTTCTAAAAAAATGAGTTCAAGTTTTAATTAAACATTAAATAAAAACCATATCTCTATAAGTGGTTTAATACATGAGATGACAGTGAAAACCACATTTTATTTTACGATTATTACCAAAGGGTTTGCGATTGCATTAAAAGCATCGAAAGGTATCATAAAATTAATTGAAAAATTCTTACACAATATTATATTTTGAAACAACAATTATTTTAATCAATCAATTAAAGTCAGATATAATTAGTTTATTGAACACTAATTTGAACACATGGTGTTGCAGTTACATTACCACACTAGACAACCCTGGTAATCCCATAGTGTATAACTAAATTAGAATTTAAGATTACGTGATAAATAATAAATGACTTAAAATTTCATTAATCAAAAAAACTTAACGACGAGATTATCAGAAAATAATTTTGAGGTCGTGTCACAAATACGAGTGGACATGAAATTTGCATCAAATTAAAGTATGCGACAAAATATTTACCTTAAAAATACACTTATAATTTTGATATTCACTTTTCATGACATTAATTTTGTTTATTGATATGATTTTTATGTATTATTTACTATTTTATATAATAGGCTATATTATAGACATTTCTGGTAAGATTTATATTGCATATTATTTTGATCTTCCTGTAGGAAATAAATTATAGTTTTAATAAATTTTAAAATATTATTATTATTATTATTATTGGATAAGTCTTATCGAAGTGAGATCTATCAAAAGTTTTGATACAAAACCACATTTACATATATATTTTATGTGTCCATAATATATTGTACAGTATTTATTCGCAATATATTATAAAATTAAATTTTAGACCATTTAATAGGATTTAATTGTAAGAGTTTTGCTGTTATTCAATAAAGTAAATTATAATTTAAAATATACAATTGAATCATAATTTATTATTTATCAGATAACCATCATAGAAAATTTAAATACATACATGTATTTAAGCAGTTGTTTGGCAGTGATGTCTGAAACATATTAATTTTCGGGACAATAATTATCTTCTGGCATTTGTGGATTAATTTTTATGGATTAAATTATTAGCATATACTTCAAGAACACCATATTTGATAAATTGATTAAAAATTAATAAAACATTTTTGCTGCTAAAGTCTGTCCTACAAGTTACATAGTTACTGTAGATAGTTGTTTCTAAACACAACTGTTTAAAATACAAATGAATTGTTTATTAGTAAAATATATTGCATTTAAGACTAATTGTTGACTATATTTGGCGAATATATTTAGCGATAGTTATGCGGTATTTAAATCTAATTGAAGATAAGATTATTATAATTATGTTTGTCTCTCCTATACACAAAACATTAGTAAACTTTTGTACCGCACTTAAAATATTCATCACTTTTACAATCATTTGGGGTCATCCAAAACTCTCTCTCTCTCTCTCTCTCTCTCTCTCTCTCTCTCTCTNTGATATTATTTATTAATTTATTATGGATATAAATCATTCGCAAATAAAATACAAATGTGAAAGTTTTATGCTCATCAATAATTATTAAGCTATTTATATGATAATTAATACTCTCTCTCTCTCTCTCTCTCTCTTCTTTTCGCAATTTTTCATAAAATGATTCCAAAAAAATTTGAAAGATAAGAATTAATTTGGAAAAATTGTTAGCTTAACTTTATTGATCTGTTATAACTTAATATCTGTATTAAAATTATTTTAATTATTATTCAATTCATGAATATATGCTTTTCTAAAGCTAGTGATTGTTATGTTGCAGAAAAAATGAATATCATTATATCGAAGGGAGAGAGAGAGAGAGAGAGAGTATTAATTAAAAACAAATCTCATCTCGATCTTTCGTTTTATGGGTCGACTCATCCCATAATCACAAATATTGTCAAATCAATGTTTGGAAAGTTTTTTACGTAAATTTTTTTCTTGTTTATTACAATTTCAATGTAAATCAAAATCATATAAATTGTGTCTCTGGTCTTCATTTCAAATCACTTCTACTTTCACTGCTCTTTCAATTCAGTCCTAAAGGAATTTAAAGTCTAAACACAATGTTTAAGGTATGCATCGATTCGCTGAATACACAACGAAAAATGTAATCATCTGTTTCTTAATAAATGTTTCATTGATTTAAATAGTTAACCGCTTTGTTGGCTCTGATCGCCTGTTCATCGGCTCAAGTGCTCCGATTCAGTCCACTCACTCTGGGCTCAACCAATGCGGCTGAGCTGCAGACCATTCAACTGACTGCACCACAGCGTCTGGCAGTCGGCCGACCGGCCATTCAGCCCATTCACGCCATTAGAGCCGCGCCCGCCATTCACGCCGCACCCGCCTTCCACGCCGCCCCTCAACCCATCGCCATCGCCGCCTCCCCCTTCGCCAGACAAGCCGTTTTGGCCAGACCTGCCATTCATCACGCTATTAACCCCATTGCCGTCCGCGAGGAGCATCACGCCCCTGAGGTACGAGTGCTCGCAATCTATGTCTAAATAATATGATTAATCTGTTTGTCCGGCGCTGTCCAGCCCTACACCTATGCGTTCACTTCGGTCGACGAGTTCGGCACTCAACTCGGCCGTCAAGAGCAGGCCGACGGTAGCGGCACTGTCACCGGCTCTTACAGCCTGTCCGACCCCGACGGTCGCCAGAGAGTTGTCGAGTACATCGCCGACGCCGCCGGCTTCCGGGCCACCGTCCGAACCAACGAACCCGGAACAGCTAACGCCAACCCCGCCGACGTCCAGATCCACTCAACCGCTCCCAACCGTCGATAGATTAATAAATAGATAATTTATTAACTTTTATACAAATATTTGTGAATATATACCGTATTTTGCAGTCACGCCTAGTATTACAAAAAAACCGATGATTTCCGACTTTTATTACAAACGCATTGTTATATAAGATATTATGTAATTATTGAACAAATTTAGTACCAAAATTGATTTAATTTTTTTCTATTAAAATGCTTATGATTTCCAGACATTTGCTTATATTTAATTTTTATAAACGATTCAAATGAATAGATTATTGCATAATAATATGTCATAAAATAAATGATATTTTACAATGTATTTCACAAAAGTTTTTTAGGAAAATTTATTGAAAATTATTGAAATACTAATTAATCGAGTAATTTACTAATTGCTTTAAAACAAATTGATTTAACAATATCTCACCTCAATATGTGATTTAATGTGCGATTATTATACAAATCCAAAACAGTTAATCTCCTATCATAAAAGTATATCACAATTTAATGTGTTATATTGTAAACTAAAAGTGCAAA